CCTCATTATTCCACCTTCAGGTCTGGCTAACTTTGGTGAACATCAAGAATGGGAGCAAACGCTGATCAGCTCAGAGAATCAGATGGTATTTGTCTTTAGCAAGCCTCAATAGCCATCCTCCAATTTCCCAATTTAGGCCAATGAGAAATCGGATCAGGCAAATCCAATTTCAGCTAGGCAGTAAGTCTGGAAAATGGATTAATACAGTAGCTGACAGCAAGAGCCAACACAGAGGTCAAATTGAGTCTGAGAGGAGATCAAAGCATTTAGTGCTTATAGACTTAGCAGAGGGACTACAGTTCCAGTATAATATTTTTGACAGAAAATGACAATGCCATTGATGACACAGAGAGAGAGGGAGAGCGAGATTGGGGCTGATTTCTCACTACATTATGCCAGATTTATACCAGTGTAACAGAGTGGAAAATTGGCTCCATTATTTCTTTTTTTTTTTATCCAGAATTTACATTTAGGTACTTTTTAAAAGTCTAACCAGCACTTCTTCCCCTTGTCCTCAGCTGCCATTCTTAGCAAAGGCCTCGCACCAGAAGTTACCGAAGGAATAATACACAGCACTCCATGTTTTGTAATTTGATAAGAGGAGCCATCTAATTAAAATAGCCCACCTACCAACCCACTGGCTGTAAATTGCAGAAACCAACATTTGGTCACGCATGCAACAGTGCCTGCCACACAGCTGTTTCCATCACCCCATTAAAAATCATTTCACTATTGTGGTAGCAAAGTTAGTTTAAAGGACATTAATTTAAAAAAAAAAACAACACCAGTAAGATTTGTAAACACTAGTGGCCAAATACAACCCTAGAATGAATCAGTGTAATTCCACTGAGCTCAGTGGAGTGGCACCTGCTTCCTTAAGCAGGATGGAGGGAGGGATAGCTCAGTGGTTTGCACATTGGCCTACTAAACCTAGGGTTGTGAGTTCAATCCTTGAGGGGGGCCATTTAGGGACCTAGGGCAAAAATCTGTCTGGGGATTAGTCCTGCTTTGAGCAGGGGGTTGGACTAGGTGACCTCCTGAGGTCCCTTCCAACCCTGATATTCTATATTTGATTTTGGATCTGCTATCTTGTGCCTTCATTTGAGTGGGATCCTACTGTTCCTAGTGAATGCACATGCTCCACTTATTCAGTCAGTAAAATATACTTACTTGAATCTGACTGTGGTGTATACCTTCATAACTAATACAGCCACAATCCTGAGCTCATTCATCTGATTAAGTCAATGATTTAACGGTGGGCCTTTGCTTCTGCCATATGAGTTTGCTGCTTTTGGGTTAGTCCCTTCACAAAGGACAGTGGTCAGCTACCTAAAAATACATAGCCTTTACCTTTGACAAACAATGACCAACTAAATAAGACCAAGTGCTATGGGCAGCAGGGAGAGTCATCTGAGGACTGCCTTCTGGCTGAACTGGATTTGCCTCCTGGTTTCACCTGGGAGTTAATCCCCTGCTGTCTGGCCTGATCTCAGCAAGAAATCTGGCTCTTTATATATGTTGCTGCTGTTGGAGAAACTGCCACTGTCATCTTCAATAATTCTGTGTCACAGGTCCTTGTGTAGCCCACTGGTGAGCATGTGTTATGGGGCCCCTTCTCTGTACCTGCTCCACAGAGGTACAGCTATAGAGCTCCAGCAGAGTTCGCTGGTTCAATGCCCAAGATGGTGGCCATCACATCTGCATCTCTCATGGTGCATGATTTTGTGAGGGCTCCTATATCAAATCCAATCTGGAAGAGAAATACTTATATCATGGCCATCCTAGTAGCTACAGTGGAAGAGACCTGTTAAGTCACTAGCCCATCTCCGTGTAATTGCAGGGTCAACCCCTACTGAATGTTTTTTCTGCCTAATCCTGTTTAGTAATAGAAGACCCAAGCAATGTAAACAGGGCCAGCTCTAGGCACCAACTAAGGAAGCAGGTGCCTGGGGCGGCAAATCTAAAGGGGCGGCACTCCGACTCCCCCCCCCTTCTTTGGTGGCACTCCGACTTTTTCCCCCCTCACTTTTTCGGCGGCACTTTGGCAGCAACTTTTTCTTTTTTTCTTCTTCGGCGGCAGTTCGACAGCAGGTTTTTTTTTTTTTTTTTGCTTTGCTTCGCCGCTTGGGGCGGCAAAAAAGGTAGAGCCGGCCCTGAATGTAAGCCCCACCCCTTCCCAAGTTCATTATTTCATACCCTAAAAGATTTCTCTTAGACAGAAGGTTGCTCCTGAGACTCATCTTGCTAATTTCACCCCATTGCTCTGCCTTATACCTCATATGCCACCACGTCAATCTGAAGGGAAATGAGAAAAGGTAGAACAGAGAAAGAAAACACACGATTTTAATAAATAAATATTATTTATTCAATTCAAATGTTACAAAACTCTAACAATGATTCTACACAAGCTCTCACTGTAATAGCCCACCAGCATACAAGTTATTTGAATGGGGATGGGGGATTTCAACCATCTTTCTTTCTCCACAATCTGATTGGCTGACTGGTATACGGAAGCTTCTACTATGTAATGAGAAACTAAAATATCAGCCACATGTAAACCTGAAAAGAAAATGAAATTTGTCAAGTTGTGTTAGGCTGGTTTAGAATCTGGAATTTCCTACTATGAAGGTGTAAATTCTGGATTGATTTCAATGAGCTTTGGATCAGGCCCTTACACCAGGGTAAAGCAGGACTAACACCAATTAAGTCAAGCAGTTATATGCGCATGAAACCTGTGAGAGTTCAAAATCTGGTCTTGAGTAAATGACTACACAAGGCGCAAGGCAGTGGAGAATCGGGCTCCATGGAACATCTATCAGTAGACTGGGTATGAATAGAGCTATATAAGTGGAAGGAGTCTAAGGACATATAATTTAGGCCATTCTCCGTGTCTCTTCTGAATTTGGCTGATCATCTCTAACCCTGCTTTATGGGGAAGATCCCCAGCATCGCAGAACTGAAGTCAATAGAGCTACGCTATCTTATGCTATCTGAGCATGTGGTCTGGGATTTAGAGAATGTTTACAACTAATCCATAGGCTGCAGTGGTATTCTTCATTTTAAGTGTAGGGAATATCTCTGGAATTGGTAATAACTCTGAAACTAGAATGATGTTTTCAGAGCAGCCACTGTATAACCCAAAGTATAGCTTTTACTTAGAAATGAAAAACACCACCTCTTTTCTGTGTTATGGAAATAACTGGAACACACTCTTATAAAGTTGAACATGTATGGATTCATGTTTTAAACATGAGCTTCAGCACAATATTAATCTTATTCTGTTTTCCCCCTATTTCCCTACATTTAAAAAACCAATAAAGCCATAAAAGAACAAAACAGTGAACTAATGAGAAGCAAGGACATTACAGTAAAAGGCCACAGAAAAATGAAAAGTGATTGCAAATCTCCCATAGATATGATTAGACCTACTGCTTCAAAGGGAAAAAATACAGGTCTAGTATATTCAGTCATATTTTTTTCTGGTTTAATTTTTTGATTGCAAATAAACTATTTGATACATTTGTCCCTTTTTTCTTGTCCATTATCCAACCTGCACTCTTCAGATATGGTTGTTATTTGTAAGAATAACAAATCTCAGGCTAGAGGATGCCTAAAAATTATTCTCTATCAGCTATTCACTATTTGTGGTGTACAACTGGCTTAGTAACTCTGGAGTAAACTCACACCACGCTTATCCCTTAGGATAGTCATAGATCGTTTTTGTTCCATTCTACCAGCACTCATTACAAACAAATGCTGGTGCTCTTGTTCATGTGAAAACGAATGAGCAAAATTCTGCCCTCCCATAGCCACTCATTCCAGACCCAAACCACCTCTCAATGGCAGCAAAAGATCTGCAAGGTGAATGAGTTCAGAATAGATCCACAATGTGGAGAAATCTGCCTGACTGCAATGACTCGATAAGAAAACAGAGGCTCAAAAAGAAGTGGACCTCTAATTATGTCAACCCAGCATCTAAAGCCTGCAGTAGAGGAGTACTGCACTTTCTACTGCTACTCCATGATCTGGAGATTTTATTTTCACACAGAACCTACCACAACCAAGACCCTCTGGCTCGATGCAGGGAGTAGGATTTGGCAGATAGAAACGAGAGACGGAAAAGGCCTGTACTCCATCTGCCCAGCCAGTATACTATTGTTCTCTACGGTATATTTTCCTGTGCTCTGTATACATACAGTTTTGGCTACCAGCACAGAAATTCAGAACATAACATTGTCTCACGGGCTGGAATGTAATTTGCATTTGTGATGCTGATACATTGATGTCTAATGATTTTAGTTTAGCAGCAATGCACTTATTACAATGAGTAGTAGTTTGTATTACCGGAGAGCCTAGGCACCCCAGCCACAGACTAGGACCTCCTGGTGGTAGGTGCTGTATAGACACAGAACAAAAAGACAGTCCCTGTCCCAAAGAGCTTATTGTAATCTATGAAATACATCCACCTTTCATTCACACACGTATTAGGCATCATAACAGACTTCTTGAGTGCTCAAAGTCTGTTATCAAAGCACTTATTTTTGGAGTTGTTTTCCAATATTTTCATCTCTCTGCAGGCATTGATGATATTGACAGACACACTGATCTACAATGAAAGCAATTCCACTGCATCAGGAACACTCCTTTCCCAATCCTCTGGGGCAGTCTCAATAACAAACACTGCTCAGAATACCAGCCGTGGCAGGATACTATCAGACGTTAGTTCCTTTGGGTGCAACCAGGAACCTGAGCTGACAAGCAGGGTTGTACACAAAGAGGCCTATTCCCTACAGTGGCTTGCCAGCAATGGTCTCCATGCTATATTCAGCAAACAGGTGTGACATATGGAAAGATGGTTTCTCAAGCCATCTGAAGTTTTCATTTGGATGCTGAGATTGTATTAAGAGTGACAGGCGATTGCCATCTGGTGATTTCACCCTCAAAATGAAATAGCCACCGGTGCACCCGGCATCACACATTTTCATTCATATCATGATCACAGTGAAGTCAATTAAAACAAAGCACTTTTCCTTCTCTGTTCCACGATCCACCCTCCAGGGTTTACGTCCATTTGTAACATCTTCATCACCCACTTGTCTTTCCGTGCACCATCAATGAACTCATCAAGGGACAATTGCCCTGTAGAAGAAATGGGGAAGATAGAGATTGATAGAGTGTGACAGAAAGGCCTGGTTTACACTTAACATTTAGGTTGACATAGCTGTGTTGACCTAACCCCCAGTGTAGACACAGCTAGGAAGATGGAAGAATGCTTCTGTTAGTCTAGCTACACCTCACGCAGGGAAGTGGTGTTCCTTCAGTCAGCATAGGCTGTGTCTACACTCTGGCTATGTCTACACTAAACACCACCGGTAGTGGCATTTAAGGGACATGCAACTACATGCCACAGTGAAAAGCACATCGTCTCCACACTGGGGTGTGTAGCTACACATGTCAGTTAAAGGCTCCGGCAAAGGGAAGGCAGCGGGGGAAAGGCTGACCCTCTACTGGAGTCTTTCCCTGTGGCGGGGAAAGGCTGCAGCCGTGAGGAGGCAGCAGGACACTACACTGCTAAAAGTAGCATTGTAGCTGGAGAGGCATTGCTTGGGCAAATAGAGAGTGTGTAGGGTATGGACTTGAATACATACCCACAACCTACAGGCATGTCTTTACTTACCTAAGCTATGCCTCACCAACTACACTGCTATCTTTACCTATGCTAGGGGGACTACGTATGTATGTACCCTACATGCTGCCAAAAGAAGGGCGCAGTGTAGATGCACCCTATGAGGTTATGCCGGCATACCTATGGTGCCATAGCTATGTTGGTGTAGTCCCTGTAGTGTAGACATACTCAAAGTCAGAGAGAAGAGGAGAAAAGGAAGTAAAAATGATATTCTCTACGTTAAATGCAAATGTAACAATGAGGGCAACAATTCAGTACCAGTCCTCTGCTCATCAATATGTGACCTGTCTTCCAGGGTGCTGTAAAATCACCAAATGTATAGGTATTTCAGGTTTCAATCCATCCCACAACACAGTTACGCAAAGTTTGTCATCGGATCCCTTTCCTAAGGCCTTGTCTACATGGGAGAAATTGACTGTTCAGAATAATTATTCAACTATCACTATTCTGGTATAATTTTGCTATTCTGGAATAACTCCTGTGTGGCCTCTCTATTACTAAATAAAGGTGATTTTATCTGGAGGAATTATTCCAAAGCAGAGTAATTACTCTCCAATAAAGTCACTTTTATTTTGGAACAGTGTCCACATGGGGTTATTCCAGAATAGCTAATATTCTAAAATAGCTATTCTGGTCAATTTCCCTATGTAGACAAGGCCTAAGAGACAGAAAAATATTCAGGCCTATCCTTCATTGAGTGGGCTTTTGACTAAGATCAAATGTTGCTATAGTTTGATATCTGATACATCCTTTCTCAGGCGAACTCTGAACCTGATCCTGCAAACCGTTACTGATCTGAGTGGTCCCATTGACTTCAATGGCACTATAAAGGACTACTCCAGGGTTTCAGGATTGAGCCTTGTATTCTGCCTTTGCAGGGTAGCCCATCATTTGAGGGGGAGGGATAGCTCAGTGGTTTGAGCATTGGCCTGCTAAACCCAGGGTTACAAGCTCAATCCTTGAGGGGGCCACTTAGGGATCTGGGGCAAAATCAGTACTTGGTCCTGCTAGTGAAGGCAGGGGGCTGGACTCAATGACCTTTCAAGGTCCATTCTAGGAGATAGGATAATCTCAGAGATGTAGATGGGTGTGGTATAGTTACTTAGCTAGATTAGAAGATCTTTCCCATGTTGAACTCCTGTTTTCTTATGTTATGATAACACAAAATGTTCTCCCTCCTCTTGATATTGACCTTAAAGGACTTACTTCAAGATTTACCCCAATGTAACTGAGAACAGAGCTTGGTCCACCATGTCTAATATGAATAAGATGATCTTCCTTCTAGGTGATCAACAATAAAGCTGATTAAATTGGTCTAGCCAGCAGAGGTGTTTGTTCACAAGGCATGAATCCAACCTGAGCTGTAAATTTCTTACCGTCCCCATTCTCATCCACTAACTGAAATATCCTGTCCACGACTTCCTCGGGGGAGAGCAGTGGAGTCCTCTCTTCCATTTCCGACCGACACACTTTCTTCAGCCTGTAAATAGACTGGAAGAAACGAAGCTTGTGAGTAAACAGGGCTGGCACCAAACGGCAAAGAAAGAGAGTTATTAATGATGACATTTAGCACGTTGAACATGCTGTCTGTCTGTGTCTATTACAAACATTAATCAAACCTCAATGCTCCCCTGCAAGCTAGGTAAGCAAGTATTATTGTCCCCATTTTACAAATGGGAAAATTCATAGCATGTCAGTGGCATATCTGGGGAAAGAACCCTAGTGCATCTATCCATGCCTCCCAGATCTGTACTTAGACTGCTCGTTCACATCTCATTATTAGTATTATTACTAATATATTTGAGGTGTAGGTAGTTGCTGATATAGGGGCCAACTTTGGCAGTCACTGTGCTACTTCTGGCCCTGCTGTCGCTCTCCAGCTGCAGAAAAAAATTCTCTGCTAATAGAAAGAAAAAGAGGGGGAATGGAAATAATAATAATAATTAAGTGAAAGTAAGAATAAATGTTATTATTGGTTAATTAATTAATCTAAATCCTCAGGATTGTTTCCTCTTCTGGGTCCAATTCTGCTCTCATGGAAGTTTTTGCCACTGAATTCAATGGGAGCAGGAACAGATCCTTGCATGCAAACCCCTAGAAGCATTTTAGTCTGTAAACATGTCTAAAATGCAAAAACCCAGTAATAATAATGACCGTGCATTTATGTAGCACCTTTCATCCAAGCAGATCTCAAATAGATGTACCAGACAGGTTCCTAATACAATTTCAGGCTAAGAGCAGATACACTAGTATGTTAAAATATCTGGTCCAAATTGGAGTCAGTGGTATTACTCAAGATTTGGAGTGGTGTAGTTGAAAGCACAGAGTGGTCTATTCTGTTTTCTGTCACTAGAATCAGACAGGTCTTTTCTATTCACCCCTCCATCCCAGCTGCTCTTGGGACAAATGCCTCTTCAGCACCAATTGTGTTCATGAGGCTGAAGTGTTTGGCTGGCATCTTGCCAGCCTGGAGATTGGTGAAGGCATGACAGAGTCATGCCTGATTCCCCGTTGACCTTAAAACTATGGCTAAACTTCATTAGGGCTGTCCTCCCTGATGGTGCTGGTCAAAGGATCCTTACCACATCTGCTGCCCATGATCTATCCAAAAAGAGGGGTCAATTGGTTTTAGTGAAGAAGATACTGGCTAATTATAATCCCCTCTGTGACTACTAAGTATTTCCCTTGTTGGTTAGGAGAGAACTGCGCAGATACAAAATTTGTATCGGCATCCGATCCACAATCCGCAAACATGGCCTACGGATATCCGCATTTGCGGATGTGGATATTTGTGGATATAAAGCAGATTTCCACAGATTTGCAGGGCTCTAAGAATTTGGAAGAGGTTAAGTGCTCAGATACCACAATGAAGAGAGAGAGAGAGACAGACAGACAGACAGACAGAGATATGCAACCTTAATTCTTTCAAAGGAAAGCTGATCCTGCCTTGTCAAAGAGAACCTGTGCCAAGAAGAGCTAGTCCTTCCTGATTTCTCTGAACATATTCATTATTCATAAAGATTTTTCTAAGATTTCAGCTGATACATTTTCAGCCTACAGGGTATCCATGAACTGGGGACTGTGACTATTTGCTATTTTTTTATTCATGATGTCTGACTGATCACTTATGTCACATCGTATGTTTCTGATCCCTGACTGGGTAACTGAAAACTTTTAAACAGGAGAAGACTGAATAAGGCATAGTGAATATCCTTGTTTCATGCACAAGCAACCTGGCTCACGTACGAAAAAACAGCCTTTTTTCCAACCACTTGTGTGTACAAAGCTCATTCAAGCAAATGTTCATCAAAGGGACCTCATCAAACCGAACACTGATGGGGATTCTAATGGATATTAATGCTGTTTTTGCAGCATTCACCTGATTCTAGTTATGAGCCTAATCCCAGCAATTCATCCTCTCCAATTAGAACCAGAGAATAAAATTCACCCTTTTCCCTCACCCTGATCATTATTTATTCCATACTCATTTCACATGTGACAATGACATCAGTAAATTAGAGCTGGTCAAATTTTTCCAAATTTTGACTTTTCAACAAAACAAAGGGATTTTTTTTCCCAGAAAGTTTCCCTTTCTTTGAACAGCTTTTTTGATACACTGTCTTTTCAGAGAATCTCAAAGGGGTTTATAATCACTAATTAGGTCTCACAAATATCCCTGTGAAGTAGGTACATATAATGATACCCAGATCAGGTAACCGCAGCACAGAGATCGAGAGTTTTGTCCAAGGTCACACAAGAACTAGAACCTGTGAATCCTGGCGCTTAATCCCTTCACCCTAAACCTCTAGACCACAAGCTCTCCCTCAACAGCTCTGTAAGTATGAACAGCAATTGCAGAATAAATAACAGAAATTCACAGTGTGGATCAGCAAGGATGATTCTGCCCAGTATTACCACTAACTTGTGTCTCTCCCCTTACTGCACACTATTCAAGCAGGAAACCTTGATCCAGACCCATAAATAATATGGGGGTGAAATTCACCCCTTCCACACCAGCCAGCGTATGTGTTGTTGTATGAGGAATTCACTGGTGGTTACAGGGACAGGTCCTCCTTGGCAACTGGGCCTGCCTCCTGCCTTCCTTGGCCTCTTATGCACGGTATGTTGGCAGCTGATCCATATATCTGCAGATCATGGAACTTATTCCCTGGCCTGCCCCAGTGGTTCCCACCAGGCCATTGCACAAAGGATGTGGTAGTCCCTGTCACTAAGGCTGGCCATTCTCACTTAGGGCTTCATCATTATCCCGAATTATTTCTGCAATTGCTAACTCATTTGAGAACAGTACAGGTCATTATGTTGAGCAGGGAAGGGTGTCTTGCTTAATGACATTAATCCCTTGGCTCATGAATAGTATGGGGCATAAAGAGCCTCCCTGTTAGGGTGATTTTACTCCAAATGAGTAGATAGATTTAGATCTTGGGCTTAAGGCATTGAACTGGGGCAGAGAAGATGGTTCCCTCCCGGCTTTGCCACAGGCTCCCTTTCTTTGAGCAAATCACTTAATTTCTCTGTGCTTCCCTTCCCCATCTGTAACATGGGGATAATAACTCTTACTTACATCCTTTGTCTGTCTTGTCTACTCAGTTTGTTAGCTCTTTGAGGAACAGACTGCCTTTACTATACTGTATGTATATATAGTGCCTAGCATAATGGGCCCCTGGTCTCAGTTGGCTCCTCTAGATGTTAGTAACAGTGAAGTCCTACTTACATCAACTATTTCTAAGAGCTCAGGTTTGTCTATGCAGCCGTTCCCATCCTTGTCATACACTTTGAATGTCCATTTCAGCTTGTGTTCCAATTTTCCTCGTAGGACAAGATTCAAAGCAGCCACATACTCCAGAAAATCAATGGTGTTATCCTGTAGACACAAGAGAGGCAACCACAGGGACACTTAGTCATACCCGATCAATACAATTGTGTAAACAAGGATGAAAAATATGCTGAGGTGATTCTCTTGATTATGTGGTTATTTATTTATTTATTTGCTTCCTTACATTTTTTAAGGAATCCTGTGCACTTTCAAGCCAATTGATTGATTGATTGTGCAAAGTGGGATCCGTTGTTGAATCTGATCGGAAGGTTTCAGATGTTCACTGTCTTAGACAAAAAAAACAGAGCCTTCCCCAACTGCTATGTTTAACTAGGTGAGAAGGGAAAATACAAGGAAAAAATCAGGTCAAGTCTTGTATATACAGAATTTTTTAAGCTGTGGTCTATTTATTTTAATAAGGAACAAAAAACGCTGTTTAAAATGTGCATTTATTTTAGTGTGCTCTAGAATTGCTCACAGTGGATGAAATTCACTCCTGTGCAGAGGGCCAGCCAAAGTCTATGCTTTGCATAAGTCCCGCTTAAGCCCCACTTAAGCTCTGCTTTGAGAGATTTAACTGGGACTTAGTACCATATAGTCCTTTGCCCAGGGATGAATTTCACCTTCTGTGACCCTGCTGGATTGAAACTGATATCAGCCCAGAGTAATCTGAATTTCCAAACAACAGAAGATTTTTAACAATATAAAGATAAACCACGATCCAGTCTACAAAGGTACTTGTGAGCTGGTGTCTATAACTTGATGTGCTGCTGCATGGAGATCTGAGGTTCAAAGGGAGAACATAGTGACTTTTCATGAATACCTAAAGCTACAGACCTGGGTCTAGATCTTTAACTGGTGCAAATTGCTGCAGCTACATTGACTTCAATAGATTTAAGCCAGTTTACACCAGCTGAGGATCTGGCCCCAGATTCCCTACCACTAAGTCCGAGGACTGTCTCCCCTCAGGGCAGGTTGCCCTCAGAGAGGCCCTGCTATGTAATACTGGATTTACAGGCGCATCAGCTCATGGCCAGTGATCAGGAGATTGGAAGATGCACAGGAGAATACTCAGACAGCCTACCAAAATGTGCACTTCTTGAGGCAGTGGGAATCACTTGCCAATGCCCAGCATGTTCATCCAGTTTATTATGGCTATTCCGTAACAGTTTTGGTGGGTCTGTGCTTTATGGGAAGACCAAAAGATCTATACTTTGCAGGCTATGATGTCAGAAAGATTTCCTTACATTCACCCTCTTAACATTTTGTGAGTATTATGATCATTACATTGTTGTTAAAAATATCCCCTTTTTCATTCCATTCATGCCTGCGCTTCTCTCCTGCTCGTGCTAATGGGAAGTATGTACAGTATGTGCACCCACTGCAAAACTGACTTTTATGACCTGATACTGCAACTGTTAGTGTGCAGGTCCCCAGTTGCCCCTGGTTGGAGCTCCAGTCATATAAATGGGGCACTCACGTGCTGTCATTTGCAAGACAGGGGCCTGTGTTTGTTTGGAAATGCAAACTTTGCTGAATTTGTATCATTTCAAATTAGAGTAATGCACAGGCAACCGCACAGACACTTAGTCAGTTCCAATGCCCATTTAGACACAGTTTAACACCTTTAAGAAACAATCTTAATGAGATTAAACTGCATTGAAAAACACCCCTTTTAGCTCATGTAAATAGCAAGGCCCTGAAAGTCAGTGGGGTTACACAGGTGCCCACCGGCATGGCTGCAGTTGCAGTACTTGGGCTTAAGGTTTTGTAGAAGCTTCTTTTCAGCAACCTAATTTCTGAGCCAAATGTGATTTGTCAGTCTCTTTCATGGCCTCCCCTGCTATCCTTTCTCTGGACTTGACCCTACTGGTTTCAATGGAAGCAGGATAGGGACCCTCTATATCTAATGGAAGGCTGATGTCCGTCACTTCTTTGTCCTACAATGACTTGCAATAATGGTCACCACCATACAACTAATATGGTGGTGAAACTTAGGAGAGTTGTGGGAACTCACCTTCCCTCTAATGTCAGTGGGAGCTGGCTGCTTAACTCCTTACAAAATCTATCTACCTATCTATCTAACTAACTGATAAGGTTAATATTTAGCAAAACAGATTGGAATTAGGAGCCTATTTGTCCATTGCCTTGACCTCGGTCATCATTTTCACCAACACAAAGTTAGTACACAGTGGGCATAAAGTGTTCCTGAACTGGAATGGTAGCACTTCACACCCATTTTGCAAAGGTGTAAATGACAACACAACAGAGAATCAGACCCAGAATGTTATAATCATTTAAGCCACTTCTTACTTCTTGAATGGCTTAAATCAATCTATTGTTTAACTTCCACCTGTTTATCATTATTTGCGCACATGATACAGAGCACTTTTCCCAATCCAAAACGCTTTTCTTGTTTATAACATAGCTGATGTTAAAAAGATGGGTTGATCGTCACTACTTAGGGGCTTATCTCGCATTGCCCGTGGAAAGAGCAGCTATGAAAATTATTTACATTATATCAGAGAATTATGAATGCTCCTATGAGAGCAGTGGAGATGACATTTCAGAGCATTGGAAACTAATAAGGACCAAATATTGTCATGATAGTACAAATAATTAAAGTTAACAGAAATGAGATAAATGGTAACTCTTCAGGATAGAGATTGTCTTCTTTTGTGGCTTGCACATTTCTGGTGCTTCATTAATCATCAATCATCATCATGAGTTACCGTGGGAGTAAAATGAGCCAGTGAAATCAGGGGGGCTGCTTGCAGAGTGAAGTACTAATCAGGATGAGTAAGAGTGGCAGAATCTGGCTCACTAATAGTCATCTCAGCACTGGATCAATACTTGAACAGTGAGCTCCAGGGGGTGCTCCGGCGTGACTGAAAAAAAGAGCACTTTGTCCTGTTATTTTGGCCCACCAGCTTCGCTTTAGTTCTATATTAACTATATACCACGGGGCTTTTAGGACCTGATCCAAAGACTAATTAAGTCAATTGGAATCTTTCTATTGACTTTGGTGGACTTTAGAGTAGGCCCAAAGTGAAATGACTTCCTGCACATAACAGCTTCACTCAGCAGATGTTTCACTAAAACTAGGATTGCAGTCTGTGCATTCATGGCACTGTCAGTACAAGACTCTCATTCCATTTCACAGAATACAGAACCTCACTAGACCTTCATTCACTACAATTCCCTCTATACCATGAGAGGAAGATAACTTTTTGGCATTCATCTCCCTAGCCAGCTCTACTGTCTGAGGCTCTTTGGGAAAAATTGCCTAACATGGGAGAGCCTAAAGTTAAGCATCTAAATCCATAGTTAGGCATCGGAGTGAGAAAACGTTGGCCTTAATTGCTACCTATGGTTTAGATTCAGCTACCAGAACTATAGAGGATGTTTTCATTTAGTTAATCCTTGCATCATGGGAGGAACTAGAGCTCCTTCTTGGACTACCAGGGCTCAACCCTGATAGATCTGTCACTAACTTTGTCTCAAACTTAATAAAAAACAAACCACAGGACGCAATGAGCCAAGACAATTCCCAAATTTCCGACGGAAAAGAAGACTGGTGATTGATCTACTTAACCAGACCACTACTGCGGGTTTTTGACACTTACCCCATTCTTATCAAAAGCTTTGAACATAGTCTCAATATACTCTGCTGCTTCCTGGTTATCCTGGACTCCAAAGAAGCGTTTGAATTCATGCATGAAGAGAGTCCCGCTGGGACATTCCACTACAAACTTCTTATACCATTCCTGCAACTCAGCAACATCAATGTCTGTTTGTTCCCCTTCCTCATTGGTGAAATGTTGTCCCATGTTGCTCCCAAAAACAGAAGAGAAAGAAAAAAGAAAGGAAAATTTAGTCAATGACCTTTAGTTTATATTGTTCCTTTTTCTCCTTCAGCTGCTTTTTCTTTCTTCAGTTTCTTCTTGGGTTATTTCCTGTCTTTGTTTCTCTTTCCTGTCTTTCATGGGTACTGTATATTTCTGTTTTGTCACCTTGTGTTGCTTTTGTATATTTCTTCTCTTCTTTCTTTCTTTCTCTTTCCTTCTATTCTGTGGTCTCTGCTCAGCCCTACAATCTCATTCCCTCACTAGAGGATCCGGGAGTGGGTTTCCTTAGTTAAATTAGTACATGTGATGTCAGACTTGGATAAAAATAACTAAGATCATTAGGAGATTCCCACTATGCGTCACAGAGACCTTCACATGTTCCAGAGCTGTGCCTCATTTAAGAACAAACTCCAGGCAGGATCAAAATGATTTCTAATGTCAATCTAAGGATTTGAAAGCTGAGGTTCCCTCTAATATGTGATGTAGAATCCCCTTCTCCCTGACTCTGTGCATGATTTGAATAATAAAGCAATCAGAAATGAGTAGTTTCTAGTCACTAACACATGTATGAATTTTTTGGGATGGAAACTCTAAGCTTCCCTTCAAGTGTGTGAAATATTCACAAGGATAAGCTAAACTACTAGAAATAGGGGGTGTTTTTACTTTAAAAAAACCTCTAAAACAGGTCCATTTTGGTGAAAAATGTGCCATTTTTGCACATTTTTAATTAAAAAAGGGCTCCTTTTCCAGTGAAAATGAGCTTTTAGGTAAATTTTTTTAAAGCGTCTAAGTGACTCATCAGCCTTGGGCTCCTTTGGAAATCTCACCCATAGTACCCCAGTAGGAGATATGGCATAAATTAAACTGAAATTACTTGGATATGATCATCTTGTTGCTTCTTACCCTTTGTCGCAACTGCTGCTATTTACACTTTCCATAACCATCTTACTGTTAATTTGTGTTCCCCATCTGTCTACCATTTATTGCATAGAGCAGTTTCAAACACTGTGTGAGCGCTTAACACACATGAATTTTTGTGTTTTCTCTCAAGGAGACTGCAGTTCAAAATTTCAAATGGTGTGCTGAAAGGTAGGCATCAATACCTGGACCTCAGAGTTGCAGAACTTCCATTGACTTCAGATGGAGCTTAGGGTTCCAAGCACCTCTGAAAATCAGGCCCATCTAGTCGCATTAAATATAGATTTAGTTGCCTGCCTTTAGGAACCCAGGCTTGAAAATTTGGCCATTGGATTTTCCTATTATGAATTTTTCATTCTCTGATATTCTGTATGCATAAATATTGTCAGTTAGGTTGTATTAATGACTAACTCTTATTTATTATAGGCCCTGATCCTGCAAACACTTACACATATGGCTAACTTTATACACATGAGAAGTCCTGTTAACATCAGGGGAACTATTCCCAGAGTTAGTCGTGTGTGCTTCAGACCTTTGCTATGAGAACTGATAAAAAACCAGGAAAATTATATATAACTATATATATATATATATATAAAACCTTTTAATGGTTTGTATATAAGATGTTTGATTTTCAAAAAACAGCACTTCTATATATTTATTTTAAAAAAATTAAAACAGAAAAATCATATTAAAATCATTTTTTTCAAATCCTGTATCTCATTCATTGAAATGCTTGAAAGTGTTTACTACATGCGGTAATGAAATATTTCACATCTTATAGAGAGGGGAGAAACATCAGCTTCTAATAGCTCACCGGTAATTATTATATATTATTTATATTATATTTTTATAACCCTAGTAAAAATCAGGACTGTATTATGCTAGGCACAGTATACAGATAACACAGCCCCTGCACCAGACATCTTACAATTGAATACATCACTCCCAAAGATTGGGCCCTCATTTCTCTATGTGTCTGATATTATTTTTGATTTTATTGTCATGTTTTTATGACAATACCAGAACGTTATCCATTGCCACACCAGGTGTTGGAGTTCAACGGGTCTTACCATGTTAGCTGGAAACAAATGACCTATTGCTATAAATGTGCCTGAGCCCGCCTGAGTCACAGATAGGATTCTACCGCTAAGAGGATTGGAGCAGCGTTAATAGGAAACAATAGACTCCACACTTACAGTAGCAAGGGGCATGAAGATTAAAGTCACTTTTTTTAGCAGTAGGTTGGAATTTATAATGTCGTGGAAGAACATGGTTCAACAGCTCAGCTAGGCACACGCTACCACAAAGAAATCAGGGTGCTGTTTAGAAGAATAGCTCCTGGTCCTGCTAGGTGAGGGCTTGCAGGAGCATATCCATACTTTGCATTTCTACAGCATTTCCAATCAAGGCTCTACAAGCGCCACGTTGATTCACGTCAGAGTCTGCACAAGCGGGGAGGGCATGGTCAGAACAGGCGAAGTGTGGGTACAAATGGGGTCCAGTGGAGTCACCAGTGAGATTAAAGCTGCTTTCCCCTAACAAAATGCCAAGTGAATTTCATTGAAGTGCAATGTACCAAGATGGTACAGAGAAATCCAATTGGCACCACCCTGCCTCAACAGGGATGGATTTGGCCCAGTGAAATTAAGCTGTGATCCTGTAAATACTTATGCATGTGCTTAACTTTAGTACCATTAGTAGTGTAAGCACATGCATAAGCGTTTGCAAGATCACAGCACCTATAAAGTTAGACATTATTAGCCCCATTTTACAGAAAGGGATTGTCTACACTGAGCAACAATGCACACTATGAGGGTATGATTTCTAAAGTGCACCAACTTGTGGCATGCTAATTTGTCTGTGTAGACCCTCCTAGAGCAAACTAAAAGTCCCCTAGTGTGCTTTAATGTAGTGCTGTTTCTGGAAAATGGGGCTAATAATATTCCCTGAGTAAAACTAATTTTTACTGGAAAGGTCTGCAGTCTTTCCTTACAAAGGGATCGACATACTTTGTGTTGCTGTCCTAATCAGAGACTGTCAACAATACCAATTATTTGTCATGTGAATTTTTAAAAATGTTTCAGTTTTTTTTCTCAAAAATTCCTGTGATAATTTTTCAGTTTTTCACGAAAAACTTAAACATTTTTAAATTTCAGTAGCAGTTTTTGATAAATATTTTTGGTTTTCAGTAAAAAAAAGTAATTTTTGAAAACCAGAACCATTCAATTTTACCTAAACTGCAACCAAAACTTGAAACTTTTTTAAGAGACACGCCTGCTCCAAGTCAGTTTTTCAATCAGAAGATCTGGCAACAGTCAGAAAAGATTTATCAATTATATGTGACAGACCTGCAAATATTATTCCAAACTAGGAAGTCTTTGCAGCATCATTTCAATACCGCAAGAGGCCAGTCGAAGAGGCATGATAGCAAGGAAGTAGGGGAAGCCATCAGGTACACCGTCATCAGGTATTGGATAAGCCTGCATTAATTACTCTCACTGAAAAGATGAAACTATATTTAGCCAGTTGCTAAATCTGGCACTATATACCAATAACTGAGGGGTAAATTATACATGTTGATATGTGATTAATGATATATGTTATATGTTTACTCTGCCTTTACTCTCCTCTTTCAAATCATATTTATATAAAATGCAAACAAACATGCAACATCAGAAATTCCAATGACGGGAACTTGAAGCTAGGCAAACCCAGACTAGCAACAAGGTACACATTTTTAACAGTCAGGGTAATTAACCATTGGAACAACTTACTTAGGGATGTGATGGGTTCTCCATCACTTGGAGACATGAAAACAAACTAGACATCTTTTTAAAAGGTATGCTATAGCTCAAACAGAAGTTATGAGCTTGATGCAGAAATTATTGGTTGAGAAATTATTCGGCCTGTAGATAGATAAATGCTGTTGTAACTTGGGATAGAAAGGTTGAATGCCAGCGGTGTAGAGCATTTAATCATTTTCTTCTGTTATGTTTGAAAAACAGCTGCATTTTGGAATGTGACTACCGTGTGCACAAAACAAGGTTCTACATGCCTGGGACATTATGTTACCTCATTGTGTAATTTGGTTTTGCCTTGTGGTAATTTTGTGATATTTTCCCACCAAACATAATAGCTCCTCCCTGTTTATTTTTGCTCCTCCCAAGTAATTTTAAACCCCTCGCCGCTGGTATGAAAACTTCTGTGTATACTACCCGAATTCCCAGCTGTTCAGATTTCTTACACTGCAGATTTTGCACAGGCAAAAATTATCTCCATTCTGCCAGTATATTATTGTATGGGATAGCTTTTAATTATTTCAACCTGGAGGATTTCTTCCTGCACTACTTCAGCTGTGCAAATTGGTGTAAATGTAAGTACAGATTATTAGTTTTTAAAACAAAAGAAGAGATCTCTGGAGAACTCTGAACTGTAGTAAATAGCTGATACTCAGGGAATGACCAGGGCTCCATGTGATAAGGAATAGATGGCCCTCAGGGGATGACCAATGCTGGATAAAATGACACATAGACTGGAGATATGCAATGGTATAGTGAGCAGTTTGTTAGGTGACTGAGCTGCAAAAGAACCGGTGAGATCCAGATGAGCCATCCCCAAGTTATCACCAGTGACAACAGCTCAGAAGCTGCTGTGTTTCCCAGCCAGGAGCATGAAAAGTTAGCATTAGGCAAACTAGACTGCTTTTTATCCTTCAGTCCATTGACAGAGCGTGTTCCCACATGCCAGCTTTGATGAAGCCTGGAGGAAATTCAGGAAATGACTGCAGAGGGGTGGGAAGATTGAGTTGTTTGGCATCTGCATTAGCAATCAGTTTGGCTTTGCTGAGTATAAAAATGGCACAAAGAGGTGAGAGGGTATCACCAGGTGTCTTCTGCCCCAGGCAAAGTCATGCCAATCCTTATAAGTATGCAAGAATGGACAAAGCATAACTCGTTTGCTCTGTTGTTCCATGATTCTTAAACAAACTGGGTCTCATTCTCATTTACAATAAGATCCCCTTTAACTTTTCTGTCAGTCTAAGAGGGCCTTAAGGTGAGCAT